TTGTGCAGTCTCACCGATATAACACGCGAAAAAAAAATACCGTCATACCCACTCACCATAGATTAGCATTTTATGAAAAAAAACCTTCATATATTGGAGCAAAATACTTACATAGACTTCCTATTTCGTTAAAAACTGAAAATAACATCAATAAATTTAAGAAGATGTTGAAAAATTACCTTTTTCACAAACCACTGTACTCGTTTGAGGATTTTTTAAACTTTTAGTTATAGTCATAGTATTAAGTTTTGATTTGACACTATTCTCATGTACTATGTGTGCATATTGTGAATAAAGATGATTTGACTTTGACTTTGACTTTGACTATACTTCATGTAATTTAACTTAGCATATACAAATTTTTAAGTATTGTTATTTTTTAAGTAAGTTAAATCTAGTAGGTAAGTTGATTAATGGATTATTTCATTTAATTTTTAAATAGCTTCAAGAGAGCTTTGATTTAGTTTACCATAAGATTATAATTATTTTACTTTACTTTGACACTATTTATGTATGTATATACAAGATAAATAAAGAAATTTGACTATGACTATGACTATGAATCTCATAAAACAGACATAATATAGTTTTTATTAAACTTTAAAGCGATGGCAGGAGTAGTATTAAGTCCCACATAGATAAACTTTGTGGACACTACTAGCATAACGAATAAAACGTTACACTATTGAAAGTTGTACGCATCATCAAATTTTTACAGCAGTCAGCTGTTGTCATGCTAGGGCAAAGGCAATCGCCGAGCCCGCGAGTGAGGACGGGGAAACAGCTTATTTCCTGATGTTCCATAGTTAGTTGTCAAATTGTCTGCTAGCCACTAACTTTACATAGGCATCAATCAGCCATCAGCAGTAGCAGTAGCCTATTACCATTGACTATATAAACACTAGTGTTAAAGTTTATATAGTCAATGCCATTACTGAATTCGATACTATACATATTGTGACAGATCTATGAAATGGAGAAAAACGTAAAGTTAAAAAACGTGTCTACTTGCTTGCATGACATATAACAGGTGAAATGGGAAGTTTTAGGACAATTTGGCACAGTTGTAGCCGTTAGAAATGGCTTTATAAAGTCACTAAACGGCTTTTAGGAGATGGATTCGTAGTCTACAGTAGGCCTATGTTTTGAAATTTCATGAATGTAAGTTCGTCATAGTTTGAGTTTAAAATGTCTACTTGCTCATGACAAAGACAAATAACAGGTGAAATGAGAGGTTTTTGGACGGTTGGACACAGATATACACATTAATAATGGCTTTAGAAAGTCAGTAAACAGTTTTTTTAGGAGAATATGGCCGTAGCCTACAATATGTTTTGAGATTTATGAATGTAATCGTCATAGTTAGTTTTAAAAATGTCTACTTATTCATGACAAATAAATGGGGAAATGGGAGGTTTTGCACACAGTTCTAGACGTTAAAACTGGTTGTAGAATGTCGCCTAACGGCTTTTAGGAGGACCTGGCCGTAGTCTACAGTGTGTTTTGAAATTCATGAATACAATCGGCAAAGTTTAATTTTTTAAATGTCTATTTGCTTATGACAAACAATAGGTGAAATGGGAGTTTACGGACAATTTGCCACGGTTTTAGGTGTTAAAAATGGCTTTAAAAAGTCACCTTTCCCGGGGGAGAAACCCCGGAACCCCCTACTTTATTGGGGGGTGCTCCCCCCAAGCCCCCCCCTTGACAAGGTCCTAAAACCGCCACTGACAGTTTTTATTTAATTTACCCCATTAGGACTTATTTCTCTATCTAGACCAAAAACAAAGTGTTTAACAAGGCTTGATGATGAATACTCCCAACGAGAAAGGCGAGAAAATTTAGAGTAATTATAAACTTAGGCTAATCATGCGATTTTAACAAACTTTTGGACTCTTCCGCTAAATTAGGCAGTTCTAGGCACTCTTTTCCTTTTTTTCCTCACTATTGGGGCAAATGCCGTTTTGATCCCGAAATTGGTTTTAAGGTTGTCAAACACGTTAAAGGGATGACCAACATGCTATTATTTTCTTAACTTTATGTTCATTTTAGTAGGTTATGTGGGTATTTTAACATAAACATAAGTGTTACACTGTCAATAATAGCAAACCGAATGGAACCCAACGTAACCTGAAATAGGTCCCTTAGTTTGCATTAGCTGTATGTGCTATTAATAACAGCTGTGTCTAAGGAATAAGTCGGCCCATTAGATCTTGGGATCTAAAAAGGGAATCTTGGGATGAAAACCGCATTTCCCCCAAAAGTGTGTAGGTTCGCCTAATGAAGCTAAAAAATGCAGAATGTTGTGAACATTGCTTGAGTAGCTTAAGTTTGTAAATACTAAATTTAATTTATAGCCAATCAAAGAAACTCAGTACACTTCGGGCTCAACCGTCAACGCGTCAAGGCAGCCAACTGAGATAGAACTGAGATGCATTTTGATTTGTATTGTGACATTCCAATTATTTTTTTTAGCTAACAAATTCCCACGACGAAGAAGATGTTAATTGTGTTCCAATCGTGAATAATAACCCTATGCTTCCAACTCCAAGTACGTTGACACGTTGCAATAAAAGCCTTACTGGAAAACGAGAGCGATCCAGTAAGCTTAATTTGTTCTATAGTAGCTAAGCTGAATTGGCGTTATTTAAACATAAAAGTAACCGTCGATTCCGACGGGTTTCACCTAGTTTAATATTATTATTGTATACGACGGCGGATATTTGAACACCTTCAATGTGTGGGACACAATAGTTTATACTGTTGGACCAAACAAACTCTTATAGTATTAAAGTGTTGGATCAAACGACCCAATCCCGTGAAACGTAAAGTCTATTTCATAAGTTTACTCTACAATGTGATATTGTACTTCTGGTTTTGCCTGTACTTTTGGATAAAACGATTTTGGACCAAACGTACGGTTTTACAATTGGTGGATAGAACTACTTTGGATCAAATGAAACTGGATAAAACGATTTTGCATCAAACGAACGAGTTTTTACCTGGTGGACCAAACGATTTTGGACCATTTGAAGACCATCCAAGTATTTTAAATTTAATAGCTACTTAAACTATTCTAAAGTGTAACATACCTGAAATATAGGTATTCCTTTATGGCTGATTGTAAGTAATAATTTAATAAAAAGAAACAATAGGCATTAAGAAAAACGTAAAAACAATACCACCGTTTTTTGCACTAGGCCTGAGGCAACAGGTCACAATGATTTGAACAGACAGTAACATATTGCTGTTGAACCAGTAATTATATTGTTTGTTTACCAATAATGACTTTTTAAAAGAACTATTTATTTTTAAAAAATCACATATTTGCATTAATAACATTTTAAATGAACTGAAAAACATGTTGCTAACCCACAATAGATAACACTACGAGACTCAAAGGACTACTATTAACCTGTTCATAAAGCTAAACCTGTTTAGTTGTAGCTAGGCTACAGGATTCAGCAGATTCGGCAAGAGTTATCAGCACATTTGTTTACTTGAAAACTTGACCCTTGTACTGCACTGTTGTTCATTGCTACTCCAACAACGTGATGTGGAACAATGTTTAAACCCACCTTTTAGTTTTAATGTCTGTAAATAAATACTTTTTGGTTTTTGGTTTCTTGTGAGGGATTTTATACCAGCCGAAATTGACAGGAAAATTACAAAAATAAATTTTCTTGTTTTAAAAGGACGGTTGGTAGACCTAAAGACGGTGACACACTATCGATCTTTTCCCCGAACAAGACCCCAAACCGAGCACGGAGAAGGGAGAAGAGAGGTCGAAGGGAGCATGTTCGATAGTGTGTCAGGGGTCCGTGCACCGATCCAGACGGCGAACCAGACATCAGGCCGAGCAGGGAGACGAGCGCTCTGGAGGCGGTTTTTTGGCGAAAGATCAAAGAAAAGATCGGTCCGATGTACGGAGTGGTGTACGATAGTGTGTCACGGTACATTTTTGCCCCGTACGCCGTCGCGAGCGCGGTACCGAGCGGCCGCCTGTGCTAGCGTTGATAGTTATAATTTAATATAGCAATTAAACTCTAAAAATTGATAAAATAAATAAATGTTGGGTAATATGTTGTCGTCATATATTATGATAATTTATGATGTAATGTTGTGGTTTGTTTGGTCAAAGTTGAAAATGTAGAAATTGTTAAATCAATTATATCAATAATATTTAAGTTGAATTCAGTAATTGATGTTATCTTAAATTCTTTCAAAATTAATATGAACATTAATATTATTAAAGGCAATTAAAATTATCATTCTATAACATGTTATATCATGTTTTATTATTTTTTTAATATTAATGCCTCTGCGCTCTTACTCACACAAGCTCTCCATCTCTCTCTAAACTCCCTTTGGCCGCGCTCGGTAGAATTCGTCTGGTCTTGGCCATGTTCGGAGAAATGTTCGGAGTGAAATTTATCTCCCTTCTCCCTTCTCCCTGCTCGGTTCGGAGTCTTGATCGGGAAAATGATCGATAGTGTGTCAACGGCTTAATGGCTCGACTGGCTACCCTGGTCACAGCCATTAGTAGAGGATGAGTGAGGCAACAGTCGTTTGAAGCGTGAGTTTGAGTTTATTACAATGTAGCTTTTTATTTTGCATGAATCACAATTTTATACTTTTTAGATATAGCCTGTAAAATATAATCATTCAGGTGGTATTTTTAAATCAGGTTATTATTAATTTTTATTAGCTTTTTTGTCATACCCTTGGGATATAATTTAAGCCTATAATATTAAACTTATATCATCAGTAATAACAATAACCCGTTTCAATGTTTAATGATATAAGATCCCGACATTATACTATATTCTAGTGCACCTTTTGCTTGAATTCGAGCAATTGCAAAGTATTGCAGGCGTTATTTTAAAAGGAATAACAGTCATAATTTCCAATGACATTAAAAGAGTCGACTCAAAGATTATGGAAATACTCACGATGTACATAACAGTTCGATATGATCAACAATTCTTCTAAATAGTTATTTATGTGACACTCACCGGTTGCTCCACCGGTTGCTCCACCGGTTGCTCCACCGACGAAGGTCCAGCCACGGCAGTGGAAGGTTCGACAGAGAGGACTTCACCCTGCAGTAAAGATAATTAGTTGCTACTTTACTACAAAAAAATATACACACAAAAAGATATGTACAAAACTCTAAAATATAAATCAGAATACACATGCGAGGCCTATGCTGAGTCTTTTATTTTTTTTTTGTCTCTGTGCTGAGTGGGTATCCTTCAATTGTTGAATCCTTCGTTTAAGACCACTCAAACTTCAGCACAGAGACTATGGGGAGATTTGTAAATTGGGATCGATACATAAGCCAGAGTACAGATTACTAGCTAAATGTATCGATCTCTGTCTGCCTACATGATTATTTTAGCTTCCCAATGTGATTTAAGGGTGAATAAGTGTTAACACTTCAGGGTGTCTAGTAGTCGGGAAAATCGGGAAAGTCGGGAATTAGTATTGAATTTCAAAATGGTCTTGAAAAGTCGGGATTTAGTCTTAAATTTGATTTCAAAGTCAGGAATTTTCATGATTTTGGCGCGATCGTCGTCTTGCGTTTACGTAACTACGAAAGCCAATGATGATGTCTACACGGCCTCGGGAAATGTTCACGATTTTGCCGAGATAGTGGACGACGACGATGACGTTTCCGAAACCACGAGAGACGACGATGACGTTACCGTGACTGCGGGAGACGACGATAACGTTTCCGTGACCACGAGAGACGACGATGACGTTTCTGTGACAGCGGGAGACGACGATGACGTTTACATGATCGCGGGAGACGACGATGACGTTTACGTGACCGCGGGAGACGACGATGACGTTTCCGTGACCGCGGGAGATGACGATGACGTTTCCGTGACCGCGGGAGACGACAATGATGTCTACACGGCCGCGGGAAATGCTCATGATTTTGCCGTGATCGCGGACGACGACAATAACGTTTCCGTGACCGCGGGAGATAACGGTGATGTCTAAACAGCCGCGGGAAATGTTCATGATTTTGCCGCGATCGTGGACGACGACGATGACGTTTCCGTGACCGCGGGAGATGACGATGACGTTTCCGTGACCGCGGGAAACAACGATGATATCTGCTCGGCCGCGGGAAATGTTCATGATTTTGTCGCGATCGCGGGAGATGACGATGACGTTTCCGTGACCATGGGAGATGACGATGACGTTTCCGTGACCGCTGGAAACGACGATGACGTTTCCGTGACCGCGGGAGACGACGATGATATCTGCTCGGCCGCGGGAAATGTTCATGGTTTTGTCGCGATCGCGGACGAAGACGATGACGTTTCCGTGACCGCGGGAGATGACGATGACGTTTCCGTGACCGCGGGAGACGCCGATGATGTCTACACGGCCGCGGGAAATGTTCATGATTTTGCCGTGATCGCGGACGACGACGATAACGTTTCCGTGACCGTGGGAGACGATGATGATGTCATTGATGATGTCTACAAGGCCGCGGGAAATGTTCATGATTTTGCCGTGATTGCGGACGACGACGTTCACGTTTCTGTAACCGCTGCAGTCAATGATGATGTCTAAACGTACGGTACGCGGAAGATTTCATGATAAAAAAAACCAAATTTGCTAGTTAGAATTTTTTATTGCTGCATTATTTCTTTACTTGAAAACACCACATTATCATAATACTACTTTATGACAAAGACAGGGGTTGGTGTAGTATTATTTAGAAAATTTGGTTAAGCTATAAAAATTGGTATCGGTATCAAGAATCGAGAATCGATACATTTTGGTATCAACACCCACTAATTGTTGAAAAAACTGTCTTAAAAATTCTGGAATTAGTCTTGAAAAGTCTGGAATTAGTCTTGAATTTTATAATGGAAATAAACTAGACACCCTATAACACTGTTGTTTCATATATTATTTAGGTAGAACAATAGTTTAAAATAGTAAGCAAATGTGAAAAAAACTGGGAAAAATAACAAAAAACATCAATAACTAGTAAATTCCACAGATAGGGTAGTATGTATCAAGCATAGGGCCTATAGGTACTTTTAGTTGCATTTATGTGATTAGGATGATAAGATTTCTTCTACCTAACTGTTTGATCATGTTAGAGCTATATTTGAAATAAAAAGAATACTATTATAATAAAATTTGAGTAAAAATTACATTTGAAAAATCCAAACTTTAAGATGTTATAAATTCCAATCAAGGATAGCTACAGATTAGGTAAAAATTGAGTTTTAATCAGCTTTTTGAGTACTACAAGATACAGTAGTTTATTTATCTCCCCAACCCTGATTTACAAAAAACCCAAACCAAAAAATAGTGGAGCTAGTATTGTGTAATGGCGGCGCAAGCTGACATGGTCTCTTTGGGTACAGACCGGTCGCACGGAGCGGTCAAAAATCTGTCAAAACTGGCTGACCGGTTGCGCGGAGTGGTCAGTTTAGGGTAGTGAACGTTTGCGCGGAGTGGTCAGAATATTAGTCGGTTGAATGATTTTTAATTTTTGAAAGCAATTACAAACCAAGTGAGATTAAAAACGTTTTTCCTTACATAACGGATTTAACTAATCACAAGTGCAATAATGCATAGGGTAACCGTAAATGAAAATAGAGATTCTTTGTGTATAAAATTGTTCTTGAGTTTTAATAACCGGAAAAAAATACCTTCAATCAATGTTGTATATGGCTGGGAAACTTAAAATTTTTTAAAGCGTTACCAATAGCTTACAAAAAAGGTTTCAACTCATTGACGGCACTTCAGTGGTGGTTGCGTAAAGTGTTAAAAGTGACAACTGCAGTGGGTGATTGTAGAGGTTTACGGATTATGCTAAACTCGCTTTTCCAATGTGTCTTCTCGCCGCTATGGGCGCTATGTGCTGCAATCGCTGGACCATAGTAGATATAATACCAGAAAGATACCTCACTTTCGGCGTTTTAGAGGCTATACGGGGGCACTTTTTATAGGGGAAAAATGAGAAAAATCAGTGGCTAATTTTTTTGCCACTTTTTTAAAGACCCGGCTCTCGTCCAATACAAGCCCATAGAAATGTTCAATACTATTAACATTTTAAATCCACATCCATTCCCATGTATATTCTCAAAATCATGCGAGGTTTGCACGCGAACTCGGGCACGCTCTACTGCTATGACGTATAAACTATGCCTGACTCCAATGAATGACTGTGAGTGTACCTAATGACCCCAATTAAAACTAATTGTCAATTTTCTCTGCCTGTCTTGTGCCAATCGGTCTGGCATCAATCTGGTTTAACCCTTTCAGTGCTATGAAACGATATATTGTTGTTTTAAAAAATCTCTAAGGGATATAGAGAGGAAGGTTATTTTTAACAAAAAGTAGCAAAACGGCCATTGGTGACCTGCATGTTCATAGGATACACTAACAACCACTTAGCTAAAAGATTCGCCCAATCCGATGATTTCGAGGTGTATGTCTAAACCCAAGGATTATGAACACCTCACTATGCCCCAGCGGTTGTAGTATATCGCTACAAACACACAGGTCACCAATTATTTGCCACACAGGACGGAGATGGAACCCGAGCAGACGAATGGCCAAGTGACACACGCCTTAGCCCTCTCGGCTATCTGTGCTTGAAGACTGAGGAGTCAAAAACTGGCATTTAAGCTGACACCACTGATTGCGAACCGATAGTGCTACAGATGGTTGTTCAATGCGTTACTAAGTAGCAGCACTAGTTAGTCATGGACTATTTAGATGATATTTTTCAGTTGAAACACAACAGTGATCATAAATGTGTCCCAGAGACTTTGCTGCAAAATATTATTTTCCTTAAAATGGCTATAAGTCAAGTTATAACGATAACCTCGTCCAACTAAATCAAAGTTAAATTCAATGTTACATTGTAAACTATATGTATTTTGATATTATATGATATTTTGGTTTCAAACAATGCTATCAGAACATAAAAAATTTTAGGAAAACTGGGAAAATTATGACAAAAACTAACTTTTATTTAATGTTTACTATAAATACTGGGATTTATCTTTGTTATATATTTTCTTATTGTCTTATTATTCAAAATTAGCCTAATTATTAAAATAGTGACAATATTACAGTTAAAATTCAACAACAGTTAATGGAATTGAAAGTCTTACAAAAAAGTCTTACAAAATACGAATTATTGACCTAGCACTGAAAGGGTTAAACTGGTCTGTCTAGGGCAGTAATGATTCTACCGTATCATCACTCACTCTTCCACCTGGATCTTCTTGTTTTGGTAAGTCTTTGACATGTAAGCCTAGTAGTAATAAGTTGTCGCGTGTCGGGTCATGGGATCAATTGGTTGCGTAATTGATGTTTGTACTCATACTCTGTATTTCTTTTAACTTAGGAGTGTAGCTAATATTCTGAGTCCATTTTTTTTAAACACTTGGCTGAATTTGGTCACTAAGGAACTTGTAAAAAATATATACAAGTTATTTTTTAAAAACTTAGCCAAATTTTACTCATTCGGGGAGTTTGAGTCAAAAGTGTGTACAAGTTATTTTTTCAAAACTTAGCCGAATTTCACTCACTATATAATATTTTCAAGTTACTTTTAACATAGGTAACACTCACTCTGTATAAATGTAGACTCAGCATTCTGCTAAAAAGTATTTTTTATTTAAGATTTAGAATTTAGTTTTGATTTAGAAAATTACAATTGCCAAATCTTACTGTATGAAATTGTTTTGAATATTAAAATTTAAAATTCTGATTTAAATTATTATTTCTCATTAATTAAAAGTTTTAAAATGTAATTTCTACTATATAAAAGATGCCAACTTTGTTTTTTAGTTACATGTCAACTGTGTGCTGCTTCTCTATCAAAAAAAGTAACTTATTTTGTTATTACTATTTTTAAGCGAGTCAAAAATATATACAAGTTATTTTTTAAAAACTTAGCCGAATTTTACTCACTAGGGGAGTTTGAGTCAAAAATATATACAAGTTATTTTTTTTTAACTTAGCAGAATTTCACTCACCGGGGACTTTGAGTCAAAAGTGTGTACAAGTTATTTTTTTAAAACTTAGCCGAATTTTACTCACCGGGGAC